GAAGATGTGATAAATTCAGCAAATGGAGCAGCCAGTGTGAGACACCAGGACTTTTAGTACTCCTGGCCTAGGATTCTTCCAACACCTTGACCAGTCCTTGCCCACAGGAATATCCATAATTAGTTGTTGTAATATTTCCCCCCCATACATTGCCATTCAGTTTCTGCATTATTCATCAGAAGTTTTCTTCTTCTAGTGTCCTACTACATTGGAACCTTGGGGACCCACACAGAGATCAAGAGAGTAGCAGAGGAAAAGGTCACTTTGCCCTGTCACCATCAACTGGGACTTCCAGAAAAAGACACACTGGATATTGAATGGCTGCTCACTGATAATGAAGGGAACCAAAAAGTGGTAAGTATATATCCCTCCTCCTTATCCTCCTATTTGCCTTTGCTTACAGTCTTTCTCGTTGAGTCTGAAAGAGCTAGAATTGGTTTTTCATCTGGCTTACACTCAAAAGACTCTAGATACAAACTACAGAGAAGAAAGAATACTTAGTTGTGAGACTAAGAGAATATGTTTTTCAGGCAAGCCATAACTATGAGAAAGCCATCTGATCTGAGTGCAGTGGCTCACACCTGTAACCCCAGCACTTTGGGTGGTAAAGGCGAGAGGACTACCTGAGCCTATAGATTCGAGACCAGCCTGAGCAACTTGGCATGAAAAAATCAGCCGTGTATGGTGGTGCACGCCTGTAATTCCAGCTACTTGGAAGGCTGAGGTGGAAGGATAGCCTGAGCCCAGCAGGTTGAGGATGGGGTGGCCATGAGCATGCCACTGCACTCCAGCTTGAGCAGCAGAGTGCGACTCTGACTCAAAAAAAAAAAAAGCCATCTGGTATTTGCCTGGACAGGGAATTTGCACTATTAGTGTCTTTGCCTAACAAGGGGACTAAGATATAGCAGCTTGATTCTGTAGTCTAGGGGACCAGAACCCAAAGCCTACTCTAAGAGACCTGCTCCTCTTCCTCCTCATAAACCATCACTACCTGCCTATGCTTCAGTCTTGCACAAAGTTATGACTTCCAAGCTTAAGAGTATGTGATATGAGCTGGGCTCAGTGGCTCAGCCTGTAATCCCACGCTTTGGGAGGCTGAGGTGAATGGATTGCCTGAGCCCGCGAGTTCCAGACCCACCTGGGCAACTTGGCGAGACCTCATCTCTACAATAAATCAAAAAATTAGCCGGGCATGGTAGCACGCGCCTGTAGTTCCAGCTACTTGGAAGGCTGAGGCGGAAGGATCGCCGGAGCCCAGCGGGTCGAGGCTGCGGTGGCCGGCAGTGGCCACTGCACTCCAGTCTGGGCAACAGAGTGAGACTCCAACTCAAAAAAAAAAAGAGTATGTGATATGACAAACAACGTGCAGTACAGAGAAACAAGTACTAGACATGAATAAAAATGCTTTACACACATATAATTGGTCAGCAAGAGAACTGACACTGGTGTTAGAGTGGAAAAATAAAGGAGTGGGCCCTAAGTCTTTAGTGCTCAGGTCGGGTAGAGCCATGATGACCCACTGGTTTCATGTGCTTCTGGCGTGTGAACAGAAATTGCAGTGCTCTGCCTCCTGTTCAGGAGCAACTGGGCTGGCTGGTATAAGAACTCAGATACATGGCCAGGTGTGGTGGCTCATGCCTGTAATCCCAGCACTTTGGGAGGCCAAGGTGAGAGGATTGCCTGAGCCCACAGGTTTGAGACCAGCCTGAGCAACTTGGCTAGAGATGCTACAATAAATAAAAAAATTAGCCAGCCGTTGTGGTGTATGTCTGTAGTTCCAGCTATTTGGAAGGCTGAGGTGGAAGGATTACCTGAGCCTAGCAGGTCAAGGCTGCGGTGGCCGGGAATGTGCCTCTGTCCTCCAGCCTGGGCAACAAAATGAGACTCCAGCTCAAAAAAAAAACCCAAAAAACTAAAATAAAAAAATAAAGAACTTAGTTAACTATTGTTATTATATTCTGCCTTGCTTGCATTCAGTCACAGTAGCTCTCTTCAATCCACGTTTTTGGTATAACTTCTCTCACTCCCTTTACTCATTGACCTATGTTGCTGTTAAAAGGCTTACCTTTTTATTAAAGTTTTATGACTAGCCAGGCTCGGTGGCTCAGTCTGTAATCCCACGCCTTCGGGAGGCTGAGGTGAGTGGATTGCCTGAGCCCGCGGGTTCGAGACCCACCTGGGCAACTTGGCGAGACCTCATCTCTACAATAAATTAAAAAAAAAAAAAACAGCCAGGCATGGTAACACATGCCTGTAATTCCGGCTACTCAGAAGACTGAGGCAGAAGGATTGCCGGAGCCTAGCAGGTCGAGGCTGCGGTGGCTAGGAGCGGCTACTGCACTCCAGTCTGGGCGACAGAGTGAGACTCCAACTCAAAAAAAAAAAAAAAAGTTTTATGATTAAAAAATGTGTACCTTAGGAAAACTGATTTTCCTCATTTTTTGCAGTTTACTTCTTTTCCTGTTAGGTGTGGTGGTGTGTACCTACAGTCTCAGCTACTTGGGAGTCCGAGGTGGGAGGATTGCTTGAGGCCAGGAGTTTGAGGTTGCAGTGCACTATGACCAAACCTGTGAATAATCACTGTACTCTAGCCTGGACAACATATCAGGACCCCATCTCTAAATAAATGAATAGAAAATTGTCGTTTTCTCTGTCTGTGCCACTAATTTCCTAAAAGGGTTTATGTTGGGAGAAGCTAAGGTTTTCACTGAAAATAAATTTCAGGATCACTATTGGAGTTTAAGCTGCTGTCTACATCACCTTGTTATTTTGATACTACCTGTCATTTTGTCCTCATAGTGTAGCATCCAAAGACTATCTGTTCTCTATAGAGCAAGGTCACCTTAATCTGAGCATGTTTATTCCAACAACTTCTTGGTCAGTCCTAGACAAGATACTCTCAGTTCTGAGGGAAGTAAGTAAGAGCCCAAGTTCCTGTAATAAAAATCTAAGAATGACTCTGATAAAGACTCTCTCCTTTGACCACACTTGAGGTAGGCTTCTGGTTCTTTCTGACTAGACCTGATCTTGGGCTTTTCTTTCTGTCCCTGGAGAACACATTCTGAGCAAGAATTCTAAGTCAGTTTAGTGAAAATGCCCCACCTTTGGTATCTAATCACCCTGGCCTGCCTATAACAATAACCCTATCAAGCAGGTTCAGCCAGAAACCCCCTTATCCTGATGTTTCCTCTTAGTAACTTCCCATCTACTGACCCCCACCCTGCTCTTTGGTTATAAACTCCCACTTGTCCTTGTTGGAGTTAGAGTCAAGCCCAATCTCTGTCCTCCACTGCAAGACCCCATTGCAGTGGCCCCATACCTATTTCCCCCACTTAAAATCTGCCTTACCATATTTAACAAGTATCACTGAATAACTTTCTCCAACAATTCCATATATCTAACTTTCAAGTAACTTCATTTGAACTAAACAAAAAAAACTGCTTGATTATATAGCCAAGTGAATATTAGGAATATTAATTATTGATTTTGAGCCAGGCTCAGTGGCTCAGCCTGTAATCCCATGCTTTGGGAGGCTGAGGTGAATGGATTGCCTGAGCCTGCAAGTTCGAGACCGGCTTGGGCAACTTGGCGAGACCTCATCTCAAAAATCAAAAAATTAGCCGGGCATGGTAGCGCGCGCCTGTAGTTCCAGCTACTTGGAAGGATGAGGCGGAAGGATCGCCGGCACCCAGCAGGTCGAGGCTGTGGTGGCCGGGACTGTGCCACTGCACTCTAGTCTGGGTGACAGAGTAAGACGCCTACTCAAAGAAAAAAAAAAAGGCCACTAATATGGTTGGCTTTATGCAGTCATAATTCCCCATGTGTCTTCAGTTGATATTCTAAAGTAAGCATGGTCATTTATTCAATCATTCAGATTACACAAATTTATTTAGTACTTACTGTATGTCACACTAGGTAGCAGGATACACTGGTAAAGAAGACATCATAGTAGTGGCTCATGTCTGTAATCCCAGTCACTTGGGAGGCTGAGGCAGAAGGATTGAGAACAGGAGTTTGAAACCAGCCTGGGCAACATAGTGAGATCCTGTCTCTTAAATAAATAAATAAAATAATGTTTTTAAAAAGAAAGGAAGGGGAGGGAGGCAGGAAGGAAGACAAGCAGAAAGGAAGCAATAAGTATTAGCTACATGCCAGGTTTAAATCTGTTTAGCACATATTATTTAATACTTGCCAGGCACAGTAGTTCATGCCTGTAATCCCAGGTACTCAGGAGACTGAGGCAGGAGGATTGTTTGAGGTCAGGAGTTCAACACCAGCTTGGGCAACATAGTGAGACCTCGTCTAAAAAAATTTTTGTTTTAATTTTAATACTCATGACTAGAATTATTAGGCCCAATTTACAAATGATGAACTGATGTGTACCTGTATGCTCATATACACACAAAGTGAACAAATTGCCTAAAGGCACCTATTTTGCATTTTTAAATTAGGTACTCTAATATGAATGCCTAGGCTGTGAACCACTAGCTATATTACTTTCATAAATAATTTGAAAGTATAATATGTGCTATGTAAGAAATAAGAGGGTGTGGAGAAAACTATTCCACACAGAATTAATTATGCAAAGGTTCTGATGCAGGAAAAAACTTGATACTATTGAAAGTTACAAAATATCAAAAACCAATTTAGTTAAATTTAATAAATATTTATTGGATTCCCACATACACACAGCCTACAGCAAAGGAGTAACTGAAGAAAGAAGTGTGCAAAGAAACAATTTCAGAACTGACAAATATCATGACAAAGACAAGCAGAGTGTTCTAGCCACTGGCCAAGAGTAGCTAGAAGAGAAGAAAAGTAAAGGACAGCTTCCTGTAAGAAAACATAGTTGATCTAAGTCTTGATAAAAGGAATTATCCTGAAAAAAATTATGAGAGTACAGATACAAAGACTGGAAAATTCTGGGAAATCATAAACAGCTAGTATAGGTATAATGTAAGATGTGAGCCTGCTGAGGTTGCAGGACCAGAAGATAGAAGATCTTGTATGCTGTCCTAGGGTGCTTAGAATTGTTGCTGTAATGTCATGGGGTTCTTGAAGAATCTTAAGAGTGCAAGGGACATATTTACATCTTAGGGCAATTGCTCTGACACTATATGGCACACTGATTTAAGGGAGACTCAAGTAAAAGCAAGATCAGTTGAACAATTTCAGACTATACAATAAAGGCTTAAATTATAGTCATGGGCATTTGGGATGTCAAGAAAGGGATAATAGGTTGGGCGTGGTGGCTCACGTCTATAATACCAGCACTGTGGGAGGCTGAGGTAGGAGGACTTCTGAGCCCAGGAGTTTGTGACCAGCCCAGGCAACATAGCAAGACCCCGTCTCTA